CCATGCCTCTCCAGGGTGGGCCGCCCCAGGAGCGGCTGCCCCCGCTGGTGTTCCCTGTGCCACAGGAGCCAGCAGGAAAGCCATGGGCAGCCGGTCACTGCGTGGGTGATGCGCTGGGATGCCGTGGGGCTGCTCGGACCCTCCGGGAGGTTGTGCTTTGTGGGACCGAATGCTCCAGCCTCGTGCAGGACGGGCTGGGCACTCACCGGTGTGATGTCGAGACGGGCCGTGGCTCTGTGGGTTTGCCAGCACGGATCTGGCTCTGGGCTTTGCTAGTGGACGGTCCCCGGGGTGTCCTTGGTGAGGGGGACACTGTCTGGGGCCACCACTGCCGCGCGTGCTCAGCCCTTGGGAGCGGGGCTGGCCGAGGCAGCGCGCTGGGAAGGGTGAGGAGTGACCATGGGATGGGATGGGAGGTGACAGCGGTGTCCCTCGAGGGCAGCAGGAGCTGGGCAGTGCCGCGGGTGCCCTGCTGCTCCCCCGGCGGGGCCGGTGTTGCCGTGCACGTCGCTCAGCCCGGAGCTTCCTCCTCTGCTATCGCCACCAGCACCTTCTCCTTTCTCTGCGCCGAGGTTTCCACGGACAAGGGAAGTGCCCCTGCGGCGGTTTCCCCTCTGCTTGCTGCTTCTTGCAGCACCTTTTGCTGCTGCTGTTTCTTGGGAAGTTGGAGAAAACTAAGTATTTGCATTTGCCCCGGGCCGGGGCTGTCGGAGGCAGCTCCACCCTAGCAGAGAGTGGGGGAGAGCGGTGACCCACGGCCACACCGAGGGACTGGGGGGACACAGGCTCTGCTGGGGGAGCAGAGCCCTCTCTGCAGTGCACGGGTGGGCATCGCAGCCCCCTGCCATGCACCAGCACCGTGCCGGGTGGGAACAGGGCTGGAACGGGGCTTTCACCTCTGTTGCAACGTCTTCACTTCCCCTCCCCTGGCTGCAGGATGGGTTGTGTGAAGTCGAAGGAAGCTGGTGTTCAAAAGAAGATAAAAATCGACCTTGACCCCCACCCTTTCCTCCAGAAGTGCCATTACGTGAAGGATCCCACAGCCACCAGCAGGAGGGTGAGCAGGAGCCACCAGCCAAGCCGTTGTGGGGTTCTCACCTCTCTCCTCTCCAGCACTGCCAGCAGGGCTGGCCGTGGGTGCTGGCAGTGCTGGTGCCCAAGGGCAGGGGGCTTGCCCAGCCTGTGCTGGGGCAAAGCACAGAACAAACCTGATGGGAATCTAGGAATTATGGAAAAAAAAGGAGATAAAAGTGAAGGTGTTGGGAGGGGGCAGAGGTGCTGGTGCTGGGCAGTCAGGTCCCCTCCTGCTGCTGCTGCTGCGGACATGGTGGGGCTGAGGGCCCAAAGGGGTGCCACTCTCTGCCATCCATGTTGTCACTTTTTGGTTTCTGCCCTGTTTTCCAGAGTGATAATGTCCCTGATGTGGCTGTGTCCCCACCCGAGGATGGTACGTACAGGACGGGCTGCAAGCAGGTGCTCAGGGTGGGAGTGTGGGGGAAACGTGGCTGGGTCCTCCCTGCCTGGGTCGTGGGGCTGAGGGCCCAAAGGGGTGCCACTCTCTGCCATCCATGTTGTCACTTTTTGGTTTCTGCCCTGTTTTCCAGAGTGATAATGTCCCTGATGTGGCTGTGTCCCCACCCGAGGATGGTACGTACAGGACGGGCTGCAAGCAGGTGCTCAGGGTGGGAGTGTGGGGGAAACGTGGCTGGGTCCTCCCTGCCTGGGTCTGACGCTGCTGATCCCAGAGGGACAGGAGCTCTGGGCTTCCATGAAGGGCAGTGGTGGCAATGGCGAGGTGCTGGGGGCCCTGCCTGGTGTCCTGGCTGCCCAAGCCAGGGGTGGCCAGGTGCCCTGTCCCAGCACAGTGGAGTACCCAGGGAGGTCCCTCTCTGCAGGCTCGGAGGACACGGTGGTGCTGGCACTCTATGACTACGAGGCGATGCACGCTGGGGACCTGAGCTTCCAGAAAGGGGAGCAGCTGAAGGTGTTGGAGGAGTAAGTGCTGCTGGTGTCCTTGCACCCCGGGCTCTCCTGAAGGCTTGTCTGGCCCTGCCGGTTTGGGTTTTCTTCTGGAATTTTCCCCTGGCGGGGCCAGCAGTGCCCGGGGTGCAGCGCTGTGCTGACGCTGTTGCAGGCTCGGGGAGTGGTGGCGGGCGAGGTCGCTGCTCACGGGGCACGAAGGCTTCATCCCCAGCAACTACGTCGCCCAAGTTGACTCGCTGGAGGCTGAGGAGTGAGTCTGTCCCTCGATGGCACATCCCAGCCCCGCACCACGGCCGTCCCCACGTCCTGCCCCTCCCAGCCCTGCCCCTCCCAGGCCTGTCCGTTGGTTCATGTTTCTGCCGCAGGTGGTTTTTCAAGGGCATCAGCCGGAAGGACGCGGAGCGGCAGCTCCTTGGCCCTGGGAACATGGTCGGGTCCTTCATGATACGGGAGAGTGAGACAACAAAAGGTCCGGGGGGGTGTCTGTGCTGGGGGGGCCCTGCCCTCTTCTACTGGCAGGGGGGCTTGGGGGGTGGGTCTCCAACCTGGGGGCTCTGCTTTGCTGTGGGGCAAGGTCTGGGGGCCCTGTGTCCCTGCTGCCTGTGCCCCCGCGGTGCTGCCGCGTGTCTGAGCCCCGGAGGAGCTGGTGGCAGCAGGTGGGGAGCGTGGCTGCAGTGCGGGCCCTGCCAGCCCGTGGGCACAGTGGGGTCGTGCCCCCCGGGGGGCTGGCAGCTCACCCCTCCCCGCACAGGCTGCTACTCGCTGTCGGGGCGGGACGGGGACAGCGGCACCGTGAAGCATTACAAGATCCGGACGCTGGAGAGCGGCGGCTTCTACATCTCCCCCCGCAGCAGCTTTGAGACGCTGCAGGAGCTGGTCCAGCACTACAAGGGTGAGCCTGGGGCCCCCTCAGCTGCGGGTGCGGGTGTCCCTGAGTGGCCAGGACCCCCTCCACGGTGCCCTGTGTGGTGCGGGAATGCCCAGCAGGGCAGGGCGGTGCTGGCAGGGCTGGGCTGCCCTGTCCTGTGTTCAACATCTCCCCAGTGTTGTCAGTGGGGCCAGGACGTGTCCCTCAGCCACCCAGGCTGCCATGGGCTCTGCTTTGAAGCACGAAGTGTCCAGTGAGACAGGTCAGCTGATGGTTCTTGGTACTCCCTGGCAGGGCAGAGTGACGGGCTGTGCCAGAAGCTCACCTACCCCTGCTACACACCCAAACCCCAGAAGCCCTGGGAGAAAGATGCCTGGGAGATTCCTCGGGAGTCATTGAGGCTGGAGAGGAAGCTGGGAGCTGGGCAGTTCGGAGAAGTGTGGATGGGTGAGAGAAAAGGAGAGGCAGCTGGGAGGAAGATGAAGGACATGGTGGAGGAGGAAGGGTGAGGGGTGGGAGAGGAGGTGGAAGAAGCAGGGATGGAGCAACCTGCAGGAGAGGAGCAGGGTAAAGTGGTCCTGCCTCAATGGAGGGACTTCCCAGGGCTGAGCATGTTCTCCAGTCCTTGTGCAGTGGCTCCATCTGAAGGACCAGGTGTTTTGGCCCCAAAATCCATTGCTCCCAGTGTCTGGGTGCTGGGCAGCCCGGAACACTCTGTTGTGCTGCCCTGCAGCTACCTACAACGAGCACACCACGGTGGCAGTGAAGACCATGAAGCCAGGCAGCATGTCTGTGGATGCCTTCTTGCAGGAGGCCAACCTGATGAAGACACTGCAGCATGACAAGCTGGTGAAGCTGTATGCTGTGGTCACCAAGGAGGAGCCCATCTACATCATCACTGAGTTTATGGAGAAAGGTGACACCTGAGTCCCTGCATGGTCACCACGGGTCAGGCCAGGCAGTGAGAGCTGGGTGCTGCAGGGATGGTGCAGGATCAGTCCTTCCTGTATCCCTGGCATTGGCCATGGGCTCTGCACTGGCTGCTGGGGTACTGGGAGTGGGGATGGTTCATGCCACTCTGCGTCCCAGGGTGCTGGGCAGAGGGATGCAGTGACAGCCCCAGAGGGGGAGGGATGGAGAGGGGGGCAGATGAGGGGTGCTCACTCCTCCACTCAACCTCTGGGAGCAGGGTGGGGTTCAGGTGTGTGTCCTCACAGAGTCCCTGCATCCTCCTTGGCTCCCCTGTGCCACCCACAGGACCCGTGTCACCCTGAGGGTGGGCACAGGCTCCGGCTGAGGCACCAGCTCTGCCCCCTTCCCTGCCTGCAGGCAGCTTGCTGGATTTCCTGAAGAGTGAGGAGGGGAACAAGCAGCCGCTCCCGAAACTGATTGACTTCTGTGCCCAGGTGAGGAGGGAGCAGAGCTGAGAAGACCCTGAGAAGACTGAACAGGAACATGGAGGAGCCTGAGAGCTTATCTGGGCCAAATATTGTGAGGGTGGGGAAGCAGGAAAGGAGCCAGGGCTGTGCCCCTGGGCAGGACCCACCTGTGGCTGTGGCAGCTCTTTCCATTCCTGGGAGCCGGGGGCATTGGGGGTGTGTATGTGTGTGTGTGTGTGTGTGTGTGTTATTTCTCACAGCCTCTTTGCATGTTTCTCTTTCCCCTTTTGGCAGATTGCAGAAGGGATGGCTTTTATCGAGAAGAGGAACTACATCCACAGAGACCTGAGGGCTGCCAACATCCTGCTGTCGGCGCTGTTGGTGTGCAAGATCGCAGACTTCGGGCTGGCCAGGGTCATTGAGGATGATGAGTACACGGCCCGGGAAGGTGTGGGAGCTGCTGGAGGGGTCTGGCTGCTCTCCGAGGTGGTGAAGGGTTGTGGGGGTCCCTTAGAGCTACTTACCAACATGTAACCTTGGTGGCCACAGCCCCAGGAGGAAGTGCTGTGTGAGGAGGGAAGTCCCTCTCATTTACATGGCTTCACATCTTCCTCTTCTGTTTGTTTTTCTCCTCTTCCCCATATTTCACCACTAGTTTATCCGCATTTGGGTTTCATGTTTCTCATGTTTCTTATCGGATCTCTTTGTCCAGGTGCCAAGTTTCCCATCAAATGGACTGCACCAGAAGCCATCTACTATGGGTCTTTCACTATAAAATCAGATGTCTGGTCCTTTGGGATCCTCCTGACTGAGATCATTACCTATGGGCGCATCCCATACCCAGGTGAGGCACCTCCTTTGCTCTGGGTTGTAAAGACATGTTGCCCTCCTGGGCCCTACCCATGGGATCTGTTTTTCCATGAAGTTAAATCACTGAAAACAAGAGGGAATGGTGAGAAATCTGAATTTCACACCGGGAGCAGAGCTCCAAGAGGGCAGCACAAGTTGTCAAGATGGCAGCTTTATGGAGAGGAGCCCAGAGCAGGCAGTTTGCTCCTCTCATTTAGGCACATCTACTGTTCAGACAAGAGCTCTCCTAGGATGGATGATAAGGAGGGTTTTCTCCGTGGGGGTCCTCAGTGGACACCAGCTGTTCTCATGGACCTGAAATCTGTGCTGCAGTGACATGGGCCTCTTCCCAGTCTCCAGAAAACAAAGCTGGGACATCTCTGGAGAGCCCAGAAACAGGTCCAGGTAGTGATGACTTTGGGGTGCCCACCACTTGGGGGAGGGCAGCAGCTCTATGTACTGCCTCAGGGCTGATCCTGAGCTCCTCCAGCTTCCTGGGAGACCAGCAGCAGTCAGGGTCTCTAAAAGAACTGCTTCCCCTGATTGTAATGGAGAAGATCATGTTTCTAATGTGACAGGGCAACTGGCTCTCCCCAGGCTGCACTGCCTGGCCCTGGCAGAGCAGGAATTGCACCCCCGGAGGTTCAGCTGGTGGCTGTGCCAGACACTTTTGGGAAGGCTCAAACTATTCATTGGGCATTTTATACCGATTGTTTCTTTGGTTCCTGGTTTTCCCCCGGGAAATGATTTCTGTGTGATAAAAGTGTAAGTTGCCACAAAGCAGCCCTGGAGGTGGAGCAGGACAGATTCTGCCATCACACTGACTCACCTTTACAGGTGGTACTGGAAGAAAAGGCTCATTAAAGACTCAGCCGATTAAAAAGTGCAGCCTTTATTTTGTGGAAATCGATACAATCCAATTATAATTCCCATCTGATCAGCTCAACTGGGGCACAACGAGCTCAGCATCTTGGTTGTTTGGTGTTTCCCTGACCGGAGCTGGGAATTCCCTCTCCCCAGTCTTTTTTTTTTCTGCCTGGTGCCGTTGCCCAAAGGGTGGGTAGTTTTGCGGTTGGGTGTTGCTGTTTGTTTTTTTTTTAACCTTTGCCGAGGAACGGGTGACCCAGGCTCCCCCTGCCCTGTCCCCACAGGGATGTCGAGCGCGGAGGTGGTCAGGGCGCTGGAGCACGGGTACCGGATGCCGCGCCCCGGGAACTGCCCCGAGGAGCTGTACCGGCTCCTCACC